TTCTTCCTAGATGTACACTGCCTGCAGATTGTCATATTCCTTTAAGAGGAACTTTAAAGTGTTTGGTGCAAAGCTCTCACAGAAATTCCATCCCGATTACACTAACAGGGCGACAAGTGAAACGGTGCAGTAAAAGTACATAACGGTTCATTCAACAATGAGCATCGCGAGCTGTTGGATCTTCTTGTGCGCATCAATCTTGGTTGTCCTTTAATTGAAGAATCGAACACTCCAGCTCCTTGTCGATGACTCGCTGCAATGCAGGTCCACCGCCTCTGAGATCTCCATCTCCTCATCGACGATTGAGAACAAATTGATGGATCAACCTTGAAAAAAAATCTGGTATAACAAGTAATTTATGATACTCCTGATTTGTGTACTATTACAATTATCTAAACGATATGTGCCATATGTGCTCGGATATAATTTATTACACTATGTGGTAGGGGGGGGGGGGGCATTCGCCCTCTACCTCTAACTTAGGGTGGTGGGTGGTAGGGCCCTGTAGCCCTATCCTAACTAGCATATTTCATGATAGTCACACATGCACATATTTTTATTATATGCCGTCGTGCATTTAATAAGTGTTGATCTTTTCTTGTACTACTCCGATACGAATCAATGCAGAAACGGCAATTTGATTGCAATGAGCAGGCAACGTGACCGGGGTCTTCGAATGAGAATCTATGCATGTTCCTGGCGTGGCATTCTCCGCTATTTTTCCTCCTCTCGCTCGACATTCTCTGTTAGTTTTCCTTCTCTCACTCGATTCCATGTGCCTGTTTGGAGCGCTGCCTGCAAAATCAGAGGATATCATGATGATGATCATCATCAGGGATCCCTGAAACCCCGATATCTTATTCCCTTTCCACGGCCGAGAGCCAGATTAGCTTAGGCCGGATGGTGACCATGTGGACTTTGCTCTTGTGCTACCTAGGCAGCAGAAAGGGTGCCGCTTTCGGCTTTCCCCCGCTGCCTCGTTGTAGCACCCCTATGCCAGCGCGTAGTCGCCTTGTAGGCTATAGCAGCGCCCGACCACCGTTCCAGCTTTTCCTAGCCATAGTTGCAGCTTCGCGCCTCCGCCTAGCCGCGGTTCCAGCATCCCGGCATCACTACCCGTAGAACTGGCCACCCGTCCAGCCATGGCGCACTGCCTGATCGCAACTTCCTGTGATGCCGGTTCCAGGTTCGGCCCCGGCCGGTTGCAGCCCCACCGCCGCCATCAATTTCAGCCCCCGCCGGTTGCAGCTTCGCAGCCACTAGAGTGAAGGGGTGCATGGGGGTCGAAGGAGCAGCTCCTGTAGTGTCTGGTCTAGACTAGGAGTGGTGGGCGTCGATGTGCGGGGCTGGCCGAGCTCGCGAGCGGAGTCGTCGGCGACTAATAAAAATGAATGGCAGCCAGCTCGCCCTGTGGAAAGGATAAGGCTGTTTGAACGGTTTGTGGGACCCCACCGCGCGAGAAAGCGCATCGCATGTTGCGAGCCCTACGATGACGCTGGATCCTATGGGCCATGCGTGACCGGCTGAGTGTTCGGCCGGCGTGTCGATTGTAAATGTTTGCCATGTATTTATCTTTGAAATAAAATAAAAAAGAAAGTTTTTTTTGCATGGTAATACGTGTCTCATTTATAAAGGGAGCTGAGTCATAATAAATACCATATCTCTGAAATAAAAAGATAAGATTATACACTAATATTATATGAATGATATTAATTTATGATACTATCCAGTATGAACAGCCTTAGTTCACTGGGTGCCGACTAAAACGCAGTGGAACTCCACGGTCCACACACCAGGATAAAACTTGTATCGTCGCACGAACCAGTCGTCTACGCGCACGCGCGCACGCCCGGCTGCTTCCCGCTTGGCGTGTGGCGACCAAATCGACCCGGACGTACGTGTCACCGTCGACGATGAGCATGTATGTATGCATGTGCAGCATGTACTGGTACGACCGTGAACGGCAAGAAAATTAGCACGATTGATCTCGACGCTGTGAGGCCCTCACACTTGGTCGCTGGCTGGAGGAAGAACCGATCGAGCTGTCAACTTCTCTCGCTGCACCAACTAAACTGGTTCCATGCTGGCGCTGAGTCGGCCTGACTGTTGCATCTTCATCTGCACCAGGATGAGCACCCCGGCGACTGCTTCACAAAATCCCGTCACTATGACAGTTTTTGGATCCGAGCTAACTAGCTGAGGCGTTGGCTTGGTATTTAGGCTTTGTGGTTGTACACAAGACTATTAGGAACCCCAATAGTCAGCGACTGTTCGCTGCCAATGATGGCATTTCCGAACGGCGTGACTGGCAGTTTTAGGTGTAGGTAAGACGACAGTTTCTTCAATGCACATGGCCGCTCTTTACTTTTTTACTTTTCACGTAAAAAATCTCGAAGAAAATGCCATCCATCAGATCATGATCAGAAAGCTGTGGGGGCGTTCACTGGGATCCCACTCCCCTGCGAACGTTCGCCAGGTAAAATTTCCGAACTATGATAGCTGCACGTTTTACATGTAAATGTTTATTTGTGAACCCTTGGATGCACATTGGATGGACAGGATAGCTTGTGGATGTTCAACTAGGTGCAGGAAAACTGAACTTGTGTAGCTTGCCTCCATCATGATCATCGCTGAAGCACTAACAACATCAGGATGATCATCGGCGGCACTTCCGCCCCCATGATGGCCATCGTCGACAAAATCAAGGGGGGGCATGCTCTTTGGTTCATTGGGGGAGCCAAACTTTGAGTTTGGTAATGCCGGGAGAATGAAAAAAACTCCCATGTGATGTGGCATGTCCAAAACCTCAAGAGTGAAAAAATAATCCCATGTGATGTGGCATGTCCAAAATCACTTCCTTAATTAATCAAAATGGCAAGTCTTTGCTTCCACTAAAAAAAGGGAAGTCTTAGACGTTGTCGTTTCATTATCAACATAACGGAAGGGGCGGCCGGAGGGGGAGGGCGCCTAGCGGAACAACTCGAACATAAGAAAAAGTAATTTTACCTAACTGGCCGGTGTGAAGATGTAGTACTTTGATCGTTTTGCAATTTTCAGGGAGACTAGAGCTTCATATGGTTAGGGGTCAACAATATAATAAATTAAAATCGACTACACGACTTGCTCAAACATCGTATAATATTTTTGGAATAGCTATAGTGGTGCAAGATTGAGTATCATTAATAGTAAGCATTTTTTACTATACATTATAAGAATCCGTGTGAACGTTAATCTTTTCATATAATCACCGAGGTAAGAAAATAAGATAAGCATTTTCTTTACTATACATAATAAGACCCCTGCGGATGTTAATCATTTCGTATAATCCCCAAGGTAAGAAAATAAGAGTTAATCGGACCCACTACTTAATGCCATCAACAGCTCGGATCTGTCATGTATGTTAAAAAAACCTCGGGTATTTGATCTCTTTCACCAATGATGAGTAGAAAGATCTTTCCGTATGTGAGACCCTACATGCATGCACCATGTTCGCTTCGAGGGCATCCCGGCATTGAAAAAGTTCTCTGCATGAGGAAAAAGATAATCGAGCCATGTTCGTCATGCAACACCATGCCCTCTTCCTTAATTAATCAGGACGGTAAGTCTTTGCTTCCCCTATAAAGAAAGGCAGGACTTGGACGTTGTTGTTTCGGAAGGGGCGGCGGGGCCTTAGTGGAACAGCTCCAACATAAGAAGAAGAAATAAATACCTTACCGGCCGGTGTGAAGAACACTTCGACCATTTTGCAATTTTCAGGGAGACTCGAGCTTCATATGGTAGTTAGGGGTCAAAAAATGAAATAAAATCGACGACGCGACTTTCTCAAACATCATACTATAATATATGGGGTAAACTAGAGAGAGAACCGAACAGCCTCCCGTCCCCCGCGTCGCCTCCACAGGCGACACTAGGGAGACCAGATCGAGCGGCGCCACTCTCCCTCCGTCTGATGATCGAGCGGAGGAGGCCGCCGGGCTAAGCGCGGGCGGCGGACGGCGGCGGCGGGGATCTTCTCTTGCGTCTTGATCTTGGGTGGGGGAGACTCGCCCCATCCTGTTCTCTGCACGGCGGCTCGGCTCCCTACAGGACCTCCGACGGGTGGCGGCCGCGGTGGCTTCGCCAGCAGGGTCAGGGCCCTTGGTCTGATGATTCCCGCCCGCCGCGTCGTGTGGGGTGGCGGCCCTCTCCGTCCTGATCTATGGTTTCGGCTGGTGGTGTGCAGGTTGCTGGATCTGGCCGTGGCGTGGCTCCCGGCGACCTGGCGACTCCATGGCGCTCGGCGCGTGCGGTTGACTGTTTGGCATCGACCGACGCAGGCCTCGATGCTTGTTTGCAGTGAGGGCTACATCGGTGGTCGTTGATGGTGGAGTCGGAGTCGCCCTCGCGGAGGTGTGATGACGATGGCACCGGATTCAACCTCGACGACGTTCTCTCCTTGACGACGTGTGTGTGTTTTTGTGTGGGTTGCCAGGTCGCCCAGGTGCCCTGTTTTGGCGGGCATGTTGTAACGGTTTTAGCCCGGTTTTTCACTAATTAACTGGACAACTCTTTTCGACCTTTTTTAATGAATCAGGCCATAAGGGACCGTGTTTTAAAAAAAATACTATAATATATTGGAGCAGCTGTAATGTAAGATCAAGTTTTTATTCTTGTGAGCTGATAAGATTGTGTATTAGTAGCATTTTTTTTCCTTTTTAGTATAACAAATTAACAATCCGTGCTGTTTGAAGCGTTCTCGCGCCGTTAATTATAGGCTCCACTAGCCAGACACCAAGACCAAGTGTCACTAGTATATTATCCGCGACTCACCTACTCCTACTCGATCATCACATGCTGGCCGGCCGGGCCATGGAGAGCTAGCTTGCCCGGTCTCGCGAGCGACGACGCGCGCGCGCTATATAATCATAATCAGCGCGGTTGTTGTGGTGTGTCTGTGAGAGGGGGAAGGAGAGGGGAGGCAGGCGCCACAATCTACGAGGCGCGATCTGCAGAGAGCGACGATGAAGAAGCACACCATCCAAGTGCCGCCGCCGCGGCCGTACGTCGTCCTCGACGCCGGGGAGGACCCGGAGCAAGGCGTCGCCGTGCGCGCGCCGCTCCTGCGCCAGGTACGTACGCGCCGTACGCCCCGGCCGTGGGCTAGCTAGCTCCGTCATCCCTCGATCCCTTTCGTTTTAGCTTGCATGTGTGTTCACACTTAGAGTAGAATTAATCATCTTAAAATAGGCTTTTGCTCCGCTTTATTATAGATAAGGCAAACATCCATACAACCAAGTTTCAAGAGTTATAGCAAATAAGACAGCTTGGGCAACAATACAATCTACCAAACAAATAAAAAATAGAGAAAAATCAAGCGGCAGTCTGCACCTGATCGGTCAGTCATGAGCCCAAACCGGTCACGGTCACGCTGCCAAGATGCCAAGAAAGCAGGTGCCAATGCTGCAAGAAAGGAATTTAAAGAATGAGTTATAGGACTACTGTGGGAAGACCTGCTCAATCATCATTTTATTACAAATCGTCCCTAACGTCCACGACCTTGCCGCAAAGATTAGCTAGAATGGGCCACCATTTTGGCCGATCTAGGTAGGTCTGGTCTCAAGGAACCCCGTAAAGTCTAGGGCCTCCCAGTCGGACCCTAGTGCCTCGCGTATGAAACTCCAAAGGGCCCGCGCCACCTTACACGAGAACAAGATATGGGGCCCAGTTTCCGGGACATCACACTGGGGGCACAAGGCATTACACGGGCCATACCGTTCAAGCACCTCGGTCCCAGAGGGTAGGCGGTTACGTAGTAGTTGTCACACAAAGATCTTAATCTTTAAACGCAATGTGCATTCCATAGAGGGGAAATCCACAAAATAGTGGGCGAATGGCATAGTGCATGATATGCTGAACTGCCGGAGAACTCACCCGGAGGTGAGAGACTCCAGGAAACGGTGTACGGAGAATCCGGCAACACCGGCGAGAGGGCTACCCGCAATCTATCCCACTCAACAATTTCCTCTGACCCAAATGTGCGAGGAACAAGATGTTCCACTACTCATTTTGGGAAGCCACGGGATCCGGAATCCTCGAGTCAGTGCAGATAGCAAACATGCTAGGAAAACCCACCCGAAGTGCCCGGCCACCAACCCGTGGATCCAGCCAGAATTTGGTACCTTCCCTTATATGTCTACAATACCAAATATATAAAGTATGAAGGTTCATCTTATAGTGAAGCTAATGATAAGTTTCATTCTAGATGGAAATGTTCTTCTCTAAAAAAATTGATCAAAGTTTGTGATGCTTAACTTTTCAAAAAATATATATGTAAAAAATTACAAAATAGAGAGTAAATCGCCTGCATGTTTTCTCAAACATCATGCAGTAAAATACGTATTTGTGAACAACTGTATTGTAAGATTGCGTTCTTATTTTTGAACATTTTTTTACATGGTAATATGTGTTTCATTCATATCATAAAGATTAAAGTACAGGTCACATAAAGACCGACATGACAAAATTGAAAAGACAACAGAACGTCTCTAAACTTGACATCAACATCCGTCATCTGCCTCTAACACCACCAAGCCACTGAAAGAAAAAATGACGGATCACTCACACGAGCTTGACACGGCTACATCGCTGATATGCAGCTCTGCGGACCTTTAAGGTGGCTCGCCATAGACGAAACCATTACTGTTGAACCTGTCATCTGCCTCTGGCAACACCCCGGACATGCCATCGAACTCTAGATCTGGCACCCCCACATGACTAAGACTTCGGAGGAGGAAACCATACATGTCATCCTCGTACCACGAGCCCAGCACACGTTCCGTTTTCCAAATATCGTCGATGCAGACCACAATCTGCATCCGCACCTCGACTACCTCCCAAGCTCCGCGCCGACGTTGGAGCAGATGTCGTCGCAGCGGCGGAGCCCGAGGACACATGTCCACCACAAGGATACCGCCGCCGCCACAACATCCCCGCTTGAACAGGCTGGTTTCGAGATCCTTCACCGACAATAAAGACGATCGCCTCATCAGAGAAGAATCCAGAGCTTCTTTATTCAGCATTGGCGTTGCCGCCGCCGAAGCCAAGGCGTCAAACGATCCAAAACCCTAAGCTTCCTGGGTCGTAAAACCTAAATGTAAAACGATCTACACGCACGGGATCCGGCGACCCCCCTCACCACCGACGACCAAAAGGTCGCTGGCGGAGGAGAGCCGCCGGAAGACGGTGCGGGAAGAAGCGACTCCTGATGGCGGCGGCTAGGTTTTGCTACAGGAGGAAAACGATCGCAGAACCGCATGGTCCTCTATTTTTATTTTTGAATTGGTAAGGTCGAGTACTAGTATTTTTGATTGAGCATAATAACAATCCGTGGCGTTTGAAGCGTTCCGGGCGGCATTAATTAGGCGCCACTGGCCAGCCACCCAGACCCAGTGGAACTTAGTCTATTACCGGCGAGACGGCGATCGACTCACCTACCCCTGCCCCTGCTCCACCCATCACATGCTGCCTGCCCGCGCCATGGAGAGCTAAGCTTGACCGACGACGCGCGCGCCCGCTATATAGCCAGCGTGGTTGTTGTGCCCTGGTCTCCGTGAGAGAGCGGGGAGCTACCTAGAAGCTAGAGAAGGAGTCCGGCGCCACAGTCTACCAGGCGCGACCTGCAGAGAGCGACGATGAAGAAGCACAGCATCCAAGTGCCGTCGCCGCGGCCGTACGTCGTCCTCGACGCCGGCGAGGAGCCGGAGCGAGGCTTCGCCGTGCGCGCGCCGCTCCTGCGCCAGGTACGCACGCTCGCCCCCGCCGTCGGCTTTATAGCTCCGCGTATCGTCCATCTCGATCGATCCCTTCTTCTTAGCTTGCATCTAGATTCTAGAACCAGGGCATCGATCGCCGGCGGCGTTTTGATCGGCTTGACTAATTGCTTCGATGGATCGATTCTGTCGATGGTCAACTCATCAGCTTCTCTTGAGATTGGGGATAGGTTTATACGACCAGTTCAATCAATCCATGACTGTCAATGGCGTGCGTGCGTCGGAACTGAATTACTAGTATGCATGCATTTTTTTTACGGGCAGTCGAAATGTAGCAACCATGGACTGAGTCTAATGTCTAAAGCTGATCACGATCAAGATTGATTGACTATGTGCATACACATTTGCTACACATCACGATCGGTTGGTGGATGCATTGAGGCATCAATGTTGGGTACTACGTAGGATCGGACGGACGGTAGCAGCAGCTAGCTAGAAACAATCACAAAAACAAGTACAACCAGCGGTGCATCGGTCCAAAGGCTGACAACTAAGTACGCATGCTTTACAGTTTGTCTCTGTTAATTAAACTATGCGGATCATGGCGGCTAACACTTTGCAATTTGGCTCTACTTTCATCATCATACTACTGCCTATTAAAATTATGATCTTTCCAGTTAACACGTGGTACATAAAAAATATATTCAGCGATTCGTTCATTTCTGCCAGCTAGTACAGTAATTTACAAGCAGCTCATTTACAAGTTATGCAATTTGTTATTCAGCTAGTAATTCCTCTGCTGTTCCTTGGATTCGGCTTAATTTCTCACTCTGTTTCTTGTTGGAATCATGGGCAGCTCACCTACCGTTCGTCTCCGTCGTTCAAACGATCCAAGAGCAGCCTCGCCTCCCCCTCCTTCTCGGCGTCTCCTTCCTTCTCCTACTTGGCCTCCCCCAGGCCCAGGGTCCTGCCTTCCCCGAGGATCAATGAACACGAGACCCTGCTCGCCATTCCCTCGCCGACGATCCAAGAGGAGGCCCCGCTACCGCCGCTTCTCGACGACCACAACAGACCCAGCAGCAAGGCGCCATTCGTAGTGCTAGGTGAGCTCCATGCCTCCATCTCCATGCACGTCTCTCGAGAAATCTTGAGTGATCACCGACGAGTTTGAATGATTCAACAATGGTGGTGGTGGTGCATGTAGGGTTCGAGTGCCTGGAGAGCACGGCGTTCAACGGCATCTCGACCAACCTGGTGGTGTACCTGGAGACGGTGCTGCACGGCAGCAACCTCGCCAGCGCCTCCAGCGTCACCACCTGGATCGGCACCAGCTACCTGACGCCCATCTTCGGCGCCGTCGTCGCCGACACCTACTGGGGCAACTACAACACCATCCTCGTCTCCCTCGCCTTCTACCTCCTCGGCATGATCCTCGTCACCTCCTCCGCCTTCCTCCCGGTCGCCGCGGCCGGCGGCGCCGTCGCCGGCGCGACCGGCTTCTTCAGCGCCAAGACGCTGGCGTTCGTGGGGCTCTACCTGGTGGCCATCGGGAGCGGCGGGGTGCGGTCCTCGCTGCTGCCCTTCGGCGCCGAGCAGTTCGACGACGCGGTGGTGGCGGACCGGGAGGGCAAGGCGGCCTTCTTCAGCCTCTTCTACCTCTGCGTCGACTTCGGGCCCATCGTCTCCGGCCTGCTCATCGTCTACATCCAGCAGAACGTCAGCTGGGCGCTCGGCTTCGGGATCGCCACCGCCTGCATCGCCGCCGCCTACGCCGCATTCCTGCTCGCCACGCCCATGTACAAGCGCACCATGCCCACCGGCTCGCCGCTCAAGAGCCTCTGCCAGGTCGTCGTCGCCGCCTGCAGGAAGCTCAGCCTCCGCCTGCCCGCCGACGCCGGCATGCTCCACGAGGCCAGCGACAAGGACGACGAGCCCAGGATCGCGCACACCGCCGAGTTCAGCTTCTTCGACAAGGCGGCCGTCTACTCGGAGCTGGACCTCGCCGAGAGGATCGACGGCGAGCCGGGCTCGTCCTGGAAGCTCTGCACCGTCACGCAGGTGGAGGAGCTCAAGATCCTTCTGCGGCTCCTCCCCGTCTGGACGACCAGCATCATCGTCTCCGTGGCCTACTCCCAGATGAACACCACCTTCATCCAGCAGGGCAGCGCCATGGACATCAACGTGCTGTCCCTCTCCATACCGGCGGCGTCGCTGCTCTCCTTCGAGGTGCTCTGCGTGCTCACCTGGGTGCTCCTCTACGGCTGGGTCATCGTGCCCGCGCTGAGCAAGTTCTCCATCTCCTCGGGCGGCGGCGGCGGGGAGCCGTCGCAGCTGCAGCGGATGGGCGCGGGCCGCGTCCTCATGGCGATCTCCATGGCGATCGCGGCGGTCGTGGAGACGTCCCGGCTCGGCAGCGCGGCGCGCGGCGAGCAGATCAGCATCGCGTGGCAGCTACCGCAGTACTTCTTCCTGGCCGGCGGGGAGGTCTTCTGCTACATCGCGCAGCTGGAGTTCTTCTACAACGAGGCGCCCGACACCATGAAGAGCATGTGCACCTCGCTCGCGCTGCTCACCATCGCGCTCGGCAGCTACCTGAGCTCCTTCATATACGCCGTCATCGCCCTGCTCACGGCGACGGCCGACAGCCCAGGGTGGATCGCCGACGACCTCGACCAGGGGCACCTCGACTACTTCTTCTGGATCATGGCCGCCATCTCCATGATCAACTTCTTCGTGTACAGCGCCTTTGCCAGGAACTACAAGCTCAAGACGGTCCTCTCGTGATCTCGGCCGGCTACTGTTTGTTTGGTTGCTCTGCTTTTTTGGTCCTTTCTATACTTGAGTATTTATAAATACACACCGCACAATGGCGAGTATATACTGTATCCAAGCATCATGTACATATACAGGAAACATATATAAGCTCAAAGGCATTTACAGGATGAGTTCGTATGTATCTCAGGCAGTGCTCAGAATCGAAATAAAACAAATACCCAATGCATTGTATCCTCCGGAACTGAAGTAACTTCAGAGTTCAGACTTTGATTTCTTTCTTTCTTTTTTAGTGTCTTGCATCCAGTTGTTCTAATTCTGTCCCATGAAAAACTTCATCATGCCATGCATCGTACCAAGGTTTTTGGTTACCATGGCCCGGAAATACCGGCCATGAATTTTGAATCTAAACAAAATTCATACAGATTGTTTTCTTTCTTTTTAAATCTCTTGCATCGAATTGTTCTAGTTATGTCCCATGAAAAAGTTCACCATGCCATGCATTGGACCAAGGTTTTGGGTGCTGGACGATAACCGGAAAATACCGGTCGGGCCCATGGGACCGAGGGTACCCAGGCCCGCCTGCCTTCGGCCCAGGACTTGGCGCGTGCAAAGGTCCAGAAGATGGCCCGCCAACAAACTTCATGAGGAAGACGCTTCCAGAGGCTCTTGTCAGCAAACACCCCGAGCGGACTAAAAGCGCCGCCAGGAGCCTCGCGAGGCGACCTCCCGAGGCCCCTCTCGGAGGCGAGCAAGTCAGGAGCAGCTCAGCCCGGTCGCGTGGCCCAGAGTCTTCGCATGGGTGACGCGCGCGACGCCGAACGATGCCAGAGACCGTGCCAGCAGGTGCGGATGAGGAGGTTTTCCTCTTTGGTGCTAAGGGAGCAAGGCCAGCATGCCGGTTCCCAAAGCAACCCCCAAAGGTTGCCTGATCGGTGCAAGAAGACCAAGTCGACGAGCGCGCGGGGTGGAGGTCATCACCGAGCTCACAGGCACGTCAGGGACGGTGGCTTTGTAGGCGAAGACCGCTTTTCGTCAGGATAGACTTTGCCCCTGTCCCCCTTCAAAATTGCGGTTGTGTGGCAACCATTTCTGCCAATATTTTCGGGGAAGAGGACCAAGGCATGTATATAAGGAGGGTAGGATGCCGCCGTAGAGGAGACGGCAATCCTTCCCCCCAACCCTTGTACTCTCATTCTCCCTCGCGAGTGCAATCCAACCACCAAGTAGGAGTAGGGGTTTACACCGCAAGGTGGCCCGAACCCGGGTAACTACCGTGTCTCCGGCTCTCCTCCGCTAGCTCGCCCATGCCGTAGCTTCACCGTGGTTCGCTGCAAGAAAGAGTAGGACGGTAGGAACGAGTGCAACCCAGAGTTCGAACCTCCTGGGTCCATGAAGCCCCGATTCCGACAGTTACCGAACGCATTTTTTAATGAATTTTAAATCTGAACAAAATTCATCCAGATTCAATTTTAGGGTTTTTTGGCTTGGTAAGGTGATTTCTCATGGGGTAAGCAAGACCTTGCATAAGATCACATATGACCAAGCGGACATTTTTTCAATAAAGGGCGCTTATTATTGACACAAGATTCACATCAAGGGATACAATCATACAAAAATCTTATATCCAACGCATACAACAAAAAAAGACAAA